TGATCTCCCCCCACTCCGGCATACATCTGTCCGCGGCTCTTCTATGCTATGGCAGACCAAGAATCTCTGTCCCGTAGCACCAGCTAGATGCTGCCAGGCCACAAGTCTCGTCCCCGGCATCCCTGGTTCCAGGAGGAAGTCGCGTACCGCACGGAGTGCGTAACCATTTTTCATACAGATCCTCTTTTACTTAGATCTTTGTAGAGAAGAATCCGCTATGATCAGCCGGCGGCGTTCCAGCGGTTGGACTTGGATTCGGATTAATCCGGCGGTTGGCCGAGGTGGGCGTGGCGGGGGTGAAGTTTACGTGCGGGAATGTGGGCAAGTTGGCGAGGGTGGTGGGGGAGAGGGAGGTGCAGGGGGATGGGCGGTTTAGGTGTTTTTCGGGGGTGGCGGATGCGATTGTGCCGGCGCTGGCGGTGGGGGGGCATGGCGGGATTGTGGGTGCCGCGAATGTGTTCCCTAGGGCGTGCGTGCAGGTGTATAAGTTGTTTGAGGAGGGGCGGTGGGAGGAGGCGCGTGTTGCGCAGCAGCGCCTGGCTCGCGCGGACTGGGCCATGACCAAGAGGGCTATCCCGGGGTTCAAGTCGGTGCTGCAGAAGTATCATGGTTATGGTGGGATCCCAAGGCTGCCTGTGCTGCCGCTGTCTGAGGAGGAGGAGGAGAAGCTGTTTGCCGAGGTGGAGGAGATGATGGCTTTTGAGGCTGGGTTGGAGGACTTTGGGAAGCCGAGTCAGTGAAAAAGGGTTGATATACAAAAGGGCTTTATATTTTGGGCCCTAGATCGAGGGCATGTACAGCTCTGTGCAAGCCAAAGAACAGCCTAAATTCACACTACACTCGCACTCCAAGGGCTACTCAACGCCCTCATCGTGAAAGAACCTCAGTATCGCAGCCGCCGCCACATCCCCGTCGTGGTCCATCTCGGCCGTCTCCGCCGCCCTATCCGCGTGCTCCAGGTCCTCGATGCTCCCACTATCTACACGCATCTGGATCTGCCGCTTCACCATGCCCTCATCAAATGCCAGGTGCGCCTGTGTCGTGAACAGCCTGCCCTTGATGTACACCCCCTGCACCTTGGTATGGCCGCTGTGTCCCCACACCTCAACCTTGGTCCCCGGGGCGAGCAACCCCCCTGAAGATTCCGCCATTGGGGGGGCAACAACGTAGTCTTGGTGCATCTGGTGGAGGTAGACCTCCGGTGTGTCCGTTTGGAAGAGCTTCTGGCCGAGGGGGCTGAGATTGATTCTGGAGTGGCCGAGTTCCCAGTCCGTAGATGCGGCGGAGGCGATGTCAGACCCGAGAAGCCGGCAGAGGAGTTGGTGACCGAAGCAGACGCCGGAGAAGTGCATTTTGGGATGTTTGAGCCAGAGTTCTGGCGGCGTTAGCCAGGGTGCACTCACTCGTCTCCGGTCCAGTCAGGGGGGTTACCTTTCAGAAGGCCCAGGAGGTCCAGGTCCCAGGGGTCGTTGCCGTGAGCGTCGTACACGCTGCCCGTGATTAAGAGGGCCTCGCAGTTGTCGAACTCGTGGGCCTTGGGCATGGTGCCTCCTTTCTCGGTGAGAACGTACCGTGTATCGGTCTCGATGCCGAGAGGGGGGTCATGGGCGTCGCCGGCTTTGGCGAAGTGGTGGTGGAGGATCTCGCCAAAGGTGCCCCGGCGAAACTTGGTTTCTGGGTGCGGTTCATCAGTCTCGAGGACCATCATGCGCACCGTGGGTCTGCCGGATTCCGTGTCCAATTCAACATGTTGGGTAGTCATTGTTGATGTTTTTCGGGTTAGTTACTTGTTGCATGCATATACCTCGCTAGCTGCAGAAAAGGTGTCGATCTCCCGCTTGTCGATCTTGGAACTATGATTTAACAAACCACGAACACGGTGTCGGGCCAAACTTATATCTTCATATTAGATTACTGAGTGCGTACCCCTATTATGTATGCCAAGTGGGAAGACTTGGAATACTGCGGGGCGATGACGACGATGTGGAACACCATCCAACCCCAAGTCAAGAATTCATTGTTCGTTTGCAGTTGAGCCAACTGGCTTATCGGACATGTATGGCGTCTTGACAAATAGATATCCCGAACATCGACCTTGGTATGAACCACCCTCCCAATGCTATCTGTTTTGAAGTCAGTAGCCCTCATGGTCTCACCGCGTCTGTCCCAATGACTCCAAAGTCTAGTCTCCATTTCTTAGTGAGCCGGCATGTCGTCGCTGAGACGCGTCTCAGAGAAGCCAAGATGATACTTACAACCTATATTTTCATATATTATATGAAGTATTAGAGAATATCTTTAAGCGTTAACGCCGGCCCATAGATCGCGCCGTCCAGATGAGGGCTTAGTGTCGCTCCAACCGTCTGCCTCTCGGGCTCAGGGGTTATTATGATCGTTTCTATCGTGCAACTTGCAGTTATAACCAGATGTATAAAATATCGTCATGAATTCATCGAGCCTATTCTGAATTTATCACATGCAGCGGATCCATGGATATCTCAAGACAGACACATGTGACTGTGAATACTGGGATATTAACTTAGAGCCCCTGTATTTCGCCCGCCGATCCCCCCCACCGAGCAAATCTCAGTCCGGAACGCTGGGTCATTGGATACATTTCTGATTTTAGGCTTTCTCATCCATTCTTATTGATGCGTGGTGGTATCGAAGGCTCGGGGATTCCAAGTGAGAGGATGAGTACATAGGTACCCAGCTATTCTTTTTTTCCGCCAGAGAAGCCGTTTTAGAATTCTTGCATCGCTTTGCCCAGGCTGACGGTGGCTCTAATAACCATGCTCTGCGACGAGGTCATCTCCTTAAAGAACCCGACAGAGCGATTGCATCCACGTGGGAACTTGCCATGAAAACCCCCAAAAGTCGGATTGCCGTACCGACTCCCTTTCCTTGATTCTGTCGCGAAAGATCGATGCTTGATAGGTCAGCAGCCAAGACGCACCCTCAGCGTCAACAGGGGAGGGCATCCTGCATGCGCACGAGTCTGGCGACGAGCTCGTCGACAAGTTCGCTCTTAGTGGTGGATGAAAATCGCATCCGAGAAGACTGGGCGGAGCGAGAGGGTCCGACCAATCTTGAGAGGGAAACTGTTCACTGCGATCTCGGGCAGGTCGGGGTATTTCTGGCCGTGGGTCGAATCAGAGTGGCCCAACGGCTCAAGCGACCTTCCCCAGTCCCACCGAGGCGACCTCCAGGTCCTAGGCCAGGGCCGAGACTCAACCCCAACCTCTCCAGTCGACGACCAGGGTAGCTGAGTGGGTGGGAATCGAAGCCGCCATGGGCAACAAAGCGGCTGGGCTATCACC